GGCTCATTAACCCTGAAAGGTCATAGTTATAACTATAATCACATCCAATCTCAATTAAGAGCATTTTAATTGATTACTTGACATTCTTTTCAGACATAGCATGTCCTAAACCTGTGAGGTAATTTGCTATTAATAGTTGGATACTGTGGATAGGAATGTAACTGAGAAAACAGATACTCTACTATGGTTTTATTATTTCCATATTGCAGACATGGAATCATCCAAGTTATGACCTGCTAATTTATATAGAGAATCCAGGGATTCATGTTTAACAGTTGTTATCTATTCAGTTTTCATTCAGTTTCACCCTACCGCTCAACTTTTCATTGGCAGATTTTTCACAAATGTATCAAAAATCAGTTATCCAATGTCCAGTGAGTTGGAGATACAATTATTGTTCCTTATTCCATGAATTGCATTGAATTATGTGGTTAGAAGAATGTCCTTTGATTTTTCTAGCTCAGAGATAGACTCTGCTAACTGCGTGTGCATTTGTGTTGTTCTTTTTAAATTCTTCCTCAGCGGGAAATGGTAACACAGCCCTGCAATCAAATATTTATTTATTTAGGCAGTTTATATGACTGCCCATATTTGTGGTGACTCTGAGAGGCTAATGGTTGTTCAGAACAAAAGCAACAACAAAATAAAATGCATAAACAACAGCCAAGGTAAAAACCAATTAAAATAGCCATCTCATGACCTTGAACAAGGCCTTGTGAAGGACTGTGTCCCCATCAATCAGAAACCCAATGTTTTGGAGACAGTCCTGTGAGAACATAGGACTAATAACACAACAAGATTTGGAAAGCAGCTTGAAATTTTGATTAAAAACAAGGTCTGGATAGCTGAACTATAGTTAATGAAGGGCAGAAGGAAAATATAGTTTGCCTGACTTTCTGATTATAATGGCTAGGGATGGACTCATAAGATGAAAGAGGAGAGTTTCTACCATGTTTTCCCAGAAATTCTTTGAGCTTTACTCATTTTGTCCTTGGCACAGTGGCTGTTTAGTACTTTTGCTGCCACAACCTATCTCAATAGGAAATACCGCCCTCCCCCCCACACTTTAACATCATAGGGTAGAACAAATCCAAAGCCTCTTCTGACAAATGAAGGAATACATGAATTATGAAAATAAATTAAAAATCTATTATGTTCCCTCCCGTAACTGTAGTGTAACCTTGAATGTATTGGAGAAATTGCTCCTAGAGCACTGCTGAAATTACAAGCAGTGTATTAAAATAATCTCCCAGAAAATAGTTCAGAAGAGAAATAAGACTGATGGTTTCTTGAGTTGCTCCAGTTTGGATGCACTCAAGAGCTAAAGCGATTCCATATCCATAATGAGCGAATACAAATGGCTGAGCCTGTCCAGAGAACCTGAAATTATAGCCAATAAGCAAGAATGTTAACATCTCAAGGATGTTAAAGCATTTAACGAGTGACACTCGCTGAAATAAAACCTGAAGTCCTGAGAGAGAGTTCTAGCTGAGCTTTGGTACCCAAACAATTTCTAAAATCACAGGTCCCTTCCTGATTCAGTGTTACTTTAGCTCACATTTTGTTTTTCTCTTGAACATCCAAGCTTTCATTTTACTGTTCCTGGGAGGTAGTAAAAGTCCCACAGAGTAACTTCAAGGCTTGGGTTGTAAACCATCTGCTTTTTCTTTGCCTGGTTGAGAGGCTTCCCTTTGGTCCAATTTGAACAAATTTGGATTGGTCTTCCTTGTCTGCCTACATGTTCCTATCTATTGCATCTATGTTTAGATGAAGCTGTTGGTGTTAAGGTCAGAATAGCAATAGCAATAGCACTCAGACTTATATACCGCTTCACCGTGCTTTAGAACCCTCTCTAAACTGTTTACAGAGTCAGCATGTTGCTCCCAATAATCTGGGTCCTCATTTTACTGACCTTGGACAGATGGAAGGCTGAGTCAACCTTGAGCTGGTAGAATCAAACTGTCAAACTGCTGGCAGCCAGCAGTCAGCAGAAGTAGTCTGCAGTACTACATTCTAACCACTGTGCCACCATGGCTCTTGATATGGTTGAAGTGACCATAGATAATAAATGTGGGGCAGAAGAATTTCCCATTCCACCACAGAAGGCCTTTATTTTATCCATGTTTAAAGGGATGAATAGTCTTATATTTGCAGCTAGCAGATGATTTCAGAAAATAGGACATAGAACATAGGATTCACGGGAGGGCTTCAAAAATTTTAGCAAAGGGTTCTCTGCCTGGTTGCTGGGTGGGTATGGCCTAGTCGGCCTCCTGCACCTCGGTGTTTTGCCCTCCCCGGGCTCTGGAGGCTTTCCTCAAGCCTCCGGGAGGGCGAAAACAGCCTCCCCAAGCTCCAGAGGCTTTCTGGAAGCCAGAAACGGGCCCATTTCCGGCCTTCCTGAGCCTCCGTGTGATTACTGCACTTACCTGCATCCAAAATGGGCCGTGTAGGGACTCCTGGGAGAGCAGGGTGGGTGGGGCATGGCCAGCCAGGAGTGGGGTTTGGGGGTTTCCGAACTGCACAGAATCTTAGCTGGGGCTCTTCTGAACCCCTGCGAACTCCCAGCAGTCCACCCCTGATCTAATCACATATCTGAACCAGTTCAGATTATCGGTCCTTCTGATGATATATATATCCTGGGTTAAATATCCTACTTTTTGAAGTGACCACTTTTTATTTTATCATCTTTTATTTTGTCAGATGGCTGGGAGAAAGATCCTGAAATAATTTACATTATTATTCTGGTTTTAAAATGAGAGTTTTAAGTTCAGCTTCGTGATTGATGGCAGTGTCAAAAGATCAGAATGCTGCATTTCAACTGGTTGTAACAATTCATTTGTTTTGCCTCTTTCTCCTGCATGAAAAAGGATTATAATTATGATCTCCATTGAAAGGGGCATTTTCCTTAGAAATGACCAAGTGCTATCTTTGAGAGGAAGCTAATGGCAAGTTTACCAATAGCTTAAATAAATAAATATTGGTGAATTTTGTATTGCAATATTAAATAGGCTGAATGCCATCTGCTCCAACAATTTGTCAGTGGCAACTATAGGGAAAGGAGCTGACTATTTGGAGAGAGTGGACAGATTTCTCTCCATCTGTTCTTGCAATACAAGATGTCATTTATATTTTAGATCTGCATAGTTGTAAGTCAAGATGTCATATCAAGGTCAAAAGGTAGAGATGCCTGTCAACATGCTTTGTCTTGGAATAACATGACAAATGCAATTTGGTGCTTCAGGCATGGCTTAGAGCTGCCCTGTTGAGCCTTAAAACTGAGCTTTCCCTATGATCATTTCAAAGGCAAGCGCTTACTTTAAATGCTGCAATTTATCAAGCAGAATGTTTAATCTATTACAAATTACTCTATGTAATGTGAAATCTGGTCTTGGACTGCTCAAATGCCAAAGCCTTTAAAGTTGAAAGGGTTTCCTAGAAGCCCAATCCTGTGCTCAACAGATATGTTGAGCTTTTAACTCTCAGTATTCTCAAGTTATTTCCGTTCTCCAGTCCTTGCATAGCAGTTTGAAACGCACCTGCAATCGCCTTCAGTTTTGCTGATCTTGAAATGCAGGAATCACTGCGGGCTAGGTGGTACCTATTCTCCTGCTAGCAACAGAAGAATGAAAAAAAAAAAAACCATGCCACCCATGAACCATCTTTATAGCTTGTGCCAGTCCCGAAGAAACAAAAATAACCCTACGTCTTGTTCCCACTCCACACAAACAGGAAATAAAATAAACTGCTCGTGCATCCACCTCACTCTCCTGTTTTTATTTCATTTTATTGGTATGATAATGTATTTATTTAGGCAGAAATCTGGGTGGTTAACATGAAGGAAAGTTTTCTGGGTTTAAAATTGCTATTCCTCCTACATTAAAAAAAAGTCTCTTGTAAAATTGAGAGTCAGGTGCTAGGCACAGGGTACTGAACCTTTTGGTTGGGGAGATTGTGATGGATGGAGAAAAAGTTGAGGAATGGAGATGCAAGAATTCCCACCATAGGGACAACAGACTGCCATAACGTATAGCAGAATTATAAAGAAAATGAACCCTCTGATAAACGAAACACCCTGACTGTGATTTGGCCATGCCAGTTGAGGCATATCAACATGTAGACTTTGCATCAGTTCAGAACTGATTGTATTCATGCAATTACATGGACAGTGGGAGGTAAATACTGAAGCAAAGGGTGTGTGTGAGTAAAGTCTGTATAATCATTGTTCACAAGAACATCATCATCCCAAGAACTTTTTGTAATTACTTTGCTATTATGAATGCTAACAAACCTCTATGAATACCAACCTACAATTTAGAAGAACAAAAAAAAAAAAAAAAGGTGCTGTAGGCCAACTTGTGCGGATGACTCACAACAACAATATCTAGAAAACACATCTAAAAGTAAAGTTGTTAACTGACTTGGGTCAATGGCATAGAACAGAGTTCCCCAACCTTTCTGGCTTTGCGGCCTGGTTGGAAGGGGGGAGAGGGGATGGTTTCACATGAGCAATGGGGAAGTGCACGCACACAAGCAGCTCCAATTTGCACAAATAGCATGCACACCTACTTGCACAAACGGAGTGCACACGTACATGTTTGCCCGCTGCTTGCGCAAGTGAGGATGCGTGCATGCATGCTCATCAACCACTTCCACAGCCCGGTTCTGAAAGGCTCAAGGCCCAATAGTGGGCCATGACCAGGGGATTGGGGACCCCAGAATAGAACATGGAAGAGATCAGAGTATTTTTATCCCATAATCAACCATATGCCAAACAACAACAACAACAACAACAACAACAACAACAACAACACAGTGGAGATTCATTGCCATTAGATTCCTGGAAGGACAAGACATATAAAAAGAATAGAATTGGAGTAAAACCAGTACTTCCAATCTTGCCATCTCTTTAGTATAGCCTTTTAAACCAAACATGGTGCACAATGGCTATATAGTGATGCACTCACTCATTCTAGCATTCTTCCTCTCTTGGTCTTGAACAGCGCCTATCAGATTGTGGTTGAAGAGCTGCATCCTCATCGGACCAAACGAGAAACTGGTGCAATGGATTGCTACCAGATTCCTGTCACCTATCAAAATGCCCTGAGCAATGGCTCGCCCTATTATTTTGCTGCAGAATTGCCTCCTGGCAATCTTCCAGAAGCAGCGGCTTTCACAGTTGGTGACAATAGAACTTATCAAGGCTTCTGGAACCCACCTTTGGTGCCTCGGAAAGGGTATAATATCTACTTTCAAGCTATGAGCAGTGTTGAAAAGGTAAGTGCATACAGGTTTTTCTTCTTTCTTGTTCATTGATTCATCCAAACATTCATTCATTCCATTTTGAACAATCCCAACTACAGTATGACTCTAAATCAGTTGTTTTTCCTGTACTGTAAGACCAAGGCTATGATCAAGAGAGATGTCCCAACAACAGCATGGGAATTTTGTCTCTTTTTGTTGTTGTTGTTCATTTCTTACCTGCCATGTGTGGTAAACAACTTGTTATCCTTGAATAATATGGATATTTTAATGGGTTAAAAAATTCTACTGTTTATGCCACTTTCCTTAGAAATGTAATTCATGAGGACTGATAACAATAAAAGAAAAACTTCAGTATAACCAAAGATCTATAAAATATTCTTAAAAAACAAAGAAAATGTCCAGATTTCAACATTTGGATTCATATTTTGGTATAGTTCGAGATATTCTATTGCCTGAAAAAATATCAAGTATCCATGCAGGTATGCATGTGTCTCCAAGGAAGGAGGGGAGCAATTGAAATTGACAATCTCCTTTGCCTTAGTAGTATCTCAAACCTGTCAGGAGAAATATGACGTCTCATTCTATATAATTCTAATTCTAATTTCAATTTGTGGGAATCTTTGGTTCCCAGGTCTTAGTCCTTAATCGGGCTTTCTAACTGAAATGAAAAAAAAAAAGTTTCTGTAATCCACAAATTCCACATACAACATTTTTAATAGAAAATATTCTGCCCAAAAATATTTAAAGTACTGGTTTCAGTAAAATCAGTTTAGCCATCTTATGGCTTTTCATTTTCAAAACAAATAATCCTCTTCATCTCTCTTTCACAGTTCAAAATATTACATTGGTTTTGGTAAAAGAAAACTTAGGTTGCCTGGCAGACTAGTACATAAGTACCAAGTTTCCATAGCCTTCATCCCATATTTCAAATAAAAAGAATACATTTTTAAAAGCCATTTATTTGAAATATGATCTAAGTCTACTCCTTGTTTGTACAAAAACTCAATGAACAAGTTAGAAATTACTTGACTGCTGTGCAGGTGTTGAAGGTATGACCAGAGATTCCTACTGCAATTTCTTCACTGTTTGAAATTTTAGTGCCACTGAGTAGTGCTTCTATTTCAGTATGTATATCAATAGAGAATAAAGCAACAGGAAGTTCAGAACTGCTGGGTACTTGTAAGTGTGAAAAGCAACATGACTTGATAACTCCCATGCTGATGCCATTGAATCATTTTCTCTTATAAACCAAAATATGAGACAAGAAAAGGAAGAAATAGCATTTGGGATAGTACCCAAGATATTTAGGGCTGTGATTTCCGTACTGTGAGCATGGCCTTGTATAAAACCTTGGTCACCTGCTTATGATGTCCCAGTAGCAGATGGTTGGAAAAAGATGAGCGGAGCAAGGGAGGATTTGTTGTTAAATTGGTAGTCTTCAGAATAATTAATGTGCTGTAGAAAGGCTGATCTTCCTACCCTGCCATTTGCATTTTGGCTACAATTAATAATATAGATGTTTCAGCTTCGGTGATTTTACCATCAAACCCCTAGAATGAATTCTTGCCTAATGTAGTAATTATAAAAATTAGCTGAATATTGTGGCAAGATGGGAAAATGGCATCATTTTTAAGACCATCGTACAATGCCTTGTTGAAGGTGGAGGATTTTCCTGAAGCTAGTATGTGCTTAAATCAATGACCATAAAATTGGTGATTTATTCTCAGAGATGGAGGCGGGGGGAGAAGATCAAATTAAGTGGTAAGTTCAGTTGAGAGGAAGATCAGCAGATGAAAAACAGAAGGCTTAACATAAAATTTTGGAGACTATATTGGTGTCAATATAGAAACATACATGTATGTGGAAAGATGCCTAATAACAGACAGACTGGGTTCATATTCATGCTAATCAGTGGCATGTGTAGCCATGGTTCTTTGAATAAAATACAGTTGGTTGTGTTCCCATAGCATGCTAAGCCAAAATAAGGAAACCATGGTTTGGTTTACTAGAATTGGGAAACCGTTTGCCAAGTATGGTACGATTTGCTCCTGGCCTTCAATTGAGATGGCAGAAATTAAGCTTAAAATCCTCTGAATACAAAATATTTTCTTGATCTCTGAACCTGGGCTTTAGGGGAAAAAACTATTTTACAAATTCCTTTCTAAATGGTATGTGACCCTTCTTTTTTGTAATTTTAAACTTGGATTAGAGATTTTTAATTGGGGATGGAAATATGAATATAAGGAACTTCCTTCCACATTTGATGGGAATGTAAAATTGGATAGAGTATTTAGTTTTATATATTAGTTGTGTCACAAGTATCTATCTTCCTATATATTTAGCTTGCATTTTGCTAGATCAACAGGATGATATTCAAATCATACAGTATCTTTGTATTTCAATAGCTAAGGAGAGCCAGCTTGGTGTAGTAGGTGACACATCAGGCTAGATATCAGAAGACCGTGAGTTCTAGTCTCACTTTAGACACAATGTCAGTTGAGTGACCTTGGGCCAGTCATCCTCTCTCAGTCCTAAGAAGGAGAAAATGGAAGCCCACTTGTGAAAATCTTGTCAAGAAAACTGGAGGAACTTTTCCTGGCAGGATTCAACCCTGACTCAAAGGAACAACAACAACAACAACAACAACAACAACAACAACAACAAACACCTAAGACTTGGGTTAACTTAAAAAGTTGCCCTTCTCCTACCCATCTAGCATTCTTTAGCAGTTAAGCAGTGAGATTTTCTTGCTGCTGAGATTATATATTCAGTTAGAATCAAGAGAGAGGGGGAGGGAGGGAGGGAGGGAGGGAGGGAGGGAGAGAGAGAGAGAGAGAGAGAGAGAGAGAGAGAGAGAGATTAGCTAGATGTACTTTTGCTTACCTAAAATCTATTCCCTGAATATGCAAGCAAACTTGGAAGATTCAGTAACTGTTGGAAAAAATATAAAGACAGATTAGTGCAAACTCATTTTGCCTTTGCATTTAGTACATTTGTTACTCTTCATCATCCTATAATTTGTACATAATAACATGCATTAAACTACTGTTGCCAAGATATATTGGACTAAATGTATTTATTTTTTTAAACAGGAGACCAAAACTCAGTGTGTTCGAATTGCTACTAAAGGTAAGAGATTTTACCCACCCATTAATAAAAGGGCATAGATATTTTGATTTTTTTTTTCCAGAGAGTTTACATTCTAAGACCTATTATACTTCTTGTACAATGCTTGGGCTCTGTTTGATGTTGTACCATGCAGACAGGGGTAATCTTCCCAGGAGATGAGTTACTTTAATGCTGGCTCAGTAAAAAGTTTGCTTGTAGGTGCAAAATACAACAGCAGCATTATTCCAAGCTCTTGTGCCAACCATAACTGGCAATAGTTATTCCAAAGAACAAGTTGCTCAGAGCCCGGATTGTTAAGTTTTATTAGGATGAAGTTTAATTCTAGCAAATAGTTTGCTTTTGAATTAGAAACCTATTATAAAGGGTAGATTAGAGGAGGAAGTTTCTGGTTCTCTTTTTGATGTCAAGGGAGAGAGCTTTGTCTCTGTAATGAAAAGAGTTCACAGAAGGGTTGTATGCATGTAGTTGTACTTCTTCGACTTCTTTTATTATTATTTTTTAAAGAAAATCTTATTTCACAGATTCAGGGGTTCAAGTTCAAGTTCCAGTGATAAGCCAGAGAATTGGAAAAGATAAAAACAATTTGTAAAAAAAAGTACCAATTTGTAAAGTTACAGAACACTAATTGTGATACAACGTATCTAGAATGTATTCTTGCCTAATGTAATTATGCAACATTGTAATTGTCACTTTTCTGGCAGTTGTGTTCTTAAAAACCTGAGTGTGTTGGGGATGATAAAGTATCACTTCTTAAATCTAGAAAATGAAAGGCTAAATATCATGGAGATTTATAATAAATGCCCGTAGATTTTTTTCTTCCCATAAAGTTGAAAAATACATCACTGGCTACTAAACCTTGCATTTTACTCTGATAGTATCTTGCCATGTTTTTACCATCCTTGCTACAGAATAGAGCTGTATGTTTGAATGTGTGTATGCATGTGTGAAGCACTTCTTTTCAGATTGTTACATTTTTTCAGGACTGCTGGGCTGAATCTGCTCACAGTTTTTTCCAAGTGTGTGTATTTTTGCCTGGTTGTTGTAACTATATCTACTCCTTTACAAATAAGATAGCTAAACTCATCCATGTTTTGTTTTACACATGTTATTTTGGATTGTATTAAGCATACTAGGATTCTGTGTTATATTTTAGGTTAATTTGGCAGTAGCAATTCTATGAAATGCTTATTGAAGTATAGATAGGTTTTATAGCTGCACTACTCAGGAAAATAATGAGACAGTGCTCCCACATTATTTACTTATCATGGGAAAATATAGGATGCAAATGTAGCCCTAATGCCATTAAATCAAATTAAATTCAAACAGACTGATGAATGATTTGATTATGTGACGTGCCATAATTGTGTGGGTGGTAAGGAACCACATAGATAGACACTCTCTAGGATCATCTGTTGCCAACTTGGCCTTTGCAATTTTTCTAATGCTGTATTCATAATTACTGCTATAATTGAGTCCACCCAATTTATTTCCTTCGCTTTTTCCACATTGCCCATTAGGTCTTCATATCATGTGTCTAAAATATGATAATTTGATCGTACCTGGAGTAAGAAATCTGGATTGATTTCTGCAATATCTATTTGTTTGCATTCTCAACCTTCTCCACCATCAAAATTTAAAAGTGTCAATAGTTTTTCCATCCTGCTTTTCAATGCTCAGCTTTCAGTTCCATATGTCAGGATTCCAAGTAATATACCCATAGCAAACAGAACTCCGAGCAAGTAGATTCCTTAAAGAAGGACATTTTATTGGATATATCATATTGGCATGGACTGGTGAAAACTGACTCTGAAAGTTCCCACAGTTTTCATCTAATTAAAAGTAAAAAAAAAAAAAAAAAATTCGAGAACACATAGGACGACTTCCGGTGGCAGGACAGGGACGTGCAGAGGTGGAGAAGACTGCTGTGGTTTTCTATTACCTTCTCTAGCGTCTGGAGCGATCCCCAGGGGATACACAAACCCCGGAGAGGTTCGTGTCAGTATAGGAGAATCTCGAGTTACAGGGTGGGGGTAGGCAACCCCCTGGTAACGAAGAGAAGAGCTCCTGAGCCCAGCGTGGAAGAGCTAGCTGCCAGTTTATGGCGGCTCCAAAGTCCAGTCTGCCACTGAGGTGACTAAGCAAGATAGTGACAGCCTGCAAGATCGGAGCAGGAAAAGGTGTTGAAAGAGCTTAATACAATATTGAAGATCGAAGATTGAAGAATGACAGTGGGGTGAGAGATTTATCTTCCTGGTTGTGAGTAGCACTTTGTGGAAGCAGGAGAGAAAAGCGGCCAGAAAAGCAGCTTGAAAAGCGGAAGTGTGACAATCACGAGCAGAAAGGCTCGTTAGAACAAAAGTGTGGATTACAGCTTTTGAAAGGGAAACTCCTGGGGAGAGAGGAAGAACATCAGAAACCAGGAGATTGGAGACTTGAATTTGTGAGTGATTTGGCATTTGGGATTAACTTTTTGACAATATTTGAGAGGAAGGAGGTGACAGAGGAGGAAAAATTGCGGCACTGAAAGTGACTTATTAATTCTCTGAATTGAGTTCAATAGGATTATTGGCTTTATTTAATACAGCTGGGAGGACAGATTGTTAAGCGACCAAGAAGAGATGACTATTGGATTTTGGAGGGAATAATAGGTGAAGGAGATTTGCACATTGAACTCAAAACCGGGAAGGGGAAAGAAGGAAGAGGAAGAAGGAAGAAGAGACCAACAGAAGGCTGGGAAGGATTGACTTCTTATTGCGATTAATCAGCACATTATACCATTCGCTCCCCGGAGTACTGGGAAGAAACTCAAAACTTAAACCTTTAGCTTGAAGACTGACTATAAAGTTTATTTTATATTTTTTCTCTTATCACATTTCTTTATTTGTTGGAATTTCTATTTGGTAATACTTTAATATTACCATTTGGGCACTATTTTTACAATTTGAACCTCTAGCCCCTTGCTTATTGACTGCCTCAAATCAAGGTAAACTTTTCCCTCTTCTCTTCCCCCATTGTTCCAGTCTTTCTCCTTCCTATCTTAACCCCTTAAAAAGCCTGATAAATTTACCTACTCAAAAGGAGGGAAAAAAAGGTATATTGTCCTTATAGATTTCAGTGACAATTGATTTGATTGTCTTAAATAGTAACAACAAAGAGTGAAAAATAGTGTTGATTTAGATTATTTAGAATACTTAAGATTAATTCTTAAAGAAGTAACTGGGTTGGATTTGATGTATTATTGATGATTAATATTGATATTCAGTATATAAATTAATTATAAAGATTATTATATTATTAGATAACATTTTATAATATAGGTGTACAGACTGCCTATCTATATATTTGATTGAAGTATTAGAATAGAATTTTTATTTTAGGGTTAAACACTGAATGGTGATCTGGGACAATATATCCAATATAGTGCAACAACAAAAACAAATATTAAGAGAGATGACCTCCACGACAACTATGGCTTTGAAATCGGGAAAGAAGACCACCCCGACCCCAACAACTACTTTAACTTCTGCTTCACCAACAATCCAAAAAACCATTGAAGAATCTCTAATAGGGGAAAAACAGTCCAATGTCTCTAACGTTAATATACAAGCTACCCTACTATCCTTGCAAGAAGCAATATCCAAGATGCAAGAAATAATGATTAAGAATCACAAAGAAACCAGAGCGGATATTAGCGAATTAAAAGATGAGATGGGAAAGCTTAAAGTGGAAATGAAAGCAGATTTACTTAAGGTGGAGGATAAGATAGGGTCCTTGCAACAGGCTATGGAGAAAAACGAAGTTAAGATAAGAGAAATAGAGAGTAGGACAGAACGGATGGAGACAAACTTTGAAAGGATAGAGGAGGAATTTAGAAATGTAACTAGAGAAACCGAAGACTCCCTCGTCCACCTCGAAATGGATAAAGCAGCGGCATATTTAAGGTTTCAAAATGTGGTAGAAGCGAAAAATGAAGAACTAGAACAATTAATGGCAGAACTATTGGCTGAATGGTTAGGGAAAGAAAAAGATGATCTAATCAAAGAATTTGACGAGGTGTATAGGGTCAGCACAAGTTATGCTAGACGCCATAACTGCCCAAGAGAAATTCATATTCGTTTCACAAGGAGGTGTGTGAGAGACCTAATTCTTAAAAGGTCCAGAGAAGAAACAATAACATATAGAGGTAAAGAGATTACGATCCTAAAACAAATCCCAAGGAAAGTGAGGGTCATAAGACAGGATTATAAATTCTTGGCCAATTATTTAAATAAAAAAGAAATTCCTTTTAAATGGTTAATCCCAGAAGGGATGTTAATAACTTGGAAAGAGAGAAAAATCAAAATAGATTCTATAGAACAGGCCCAAGACTTTCATGATCAGCTAATAGGCACGGATAACCAATACACCAAGGAGGAAACTAAAAGGAAACCACAGGATGATCGTAATCACCATAGAAACCAAAAAGAAGGACTTCCTCAAAATTTAGGGAACGACAAACCACAACCAGGGAGAGAAGAACCAATCTCACAACAACAGCAAGAAGAAAACCGAATCATCACTAGACAAAAAACTAAACAGACCTAGATAAATGGAGATAGGAAAGAAACTCCTCTCCATTAATATAAATGGTTTAAATTCAACATCTAAAAGGAAAAGGATATTAACTAAATTAATTAGACAAAACGCCGACATAATATGCCTACAAGAAACACACATTAGGAAAAAGGATGAAAGATATTTAATTTGCCCGAAACTTGGAAAACTTTTTACAGCACCAGCAGACAAACATAAAAAGAAAGGAATTGCAATATTTGTGAAAGATGATGTAAAAGCAGAACTAATCTGGTCGGATCCGGAAGGAAGAACTCTGGTTATACAAATTTGGATTAATCATATCACATTTTTATTGGTAGCAATCTACGCGCCAAATGAAGAACAAGGGAAATTTTTTAAAGATCTTCATCAGAGAATAATAGGTTTCGAAAAAAGGAATATCTGCA